CATTCCATAAAAAATAAATCAATATCTAATTATCTGTTAACAGCATTCTAAATTCTATGGTACAATTACATTAACAACGCAACGAAGGAAAGTGCCTACGACTCTACGTAGTACGAATTAATTACTGAGTATTATGCGATAAATCTCACTAACAAGCTTCTGTGTCTACACAACTTAATAACAGCAAAAACTATTCTTAGTACCGTTAATCCACTGACAAATTATAATTTATAATATTATTGACTCATAATCTATAGTTGCAAATTGAAATCTCACAAAAACGAGCGTTTGTAGACTCACATGGTGCAGGAATGTGAACTTTTTGTATAAACCTCTGGGAAACAAAAACATTAAAACAAAAGAAAAAAAAGTAACTTGTACAAACATTCGTTATGGTTTAATGTCGACTTTAGTCCTAATGATTGTTCTAAATTTAAAAACTTATATCGTATAAAACATCATAACGTTGTTTTATACTTATTACTATTATAATGACTGTTTGTACAACAGCCAGATTGATAAATTATTATTATGACTTGACGTCGTAGTACAGTGACATTACTGTCATAACCACCACCACCAGCCCTTTTACGTCCCCACTGCAGGGGCTCAGGCCTTCCTTATGGATGGTTAAGGAGGATGGGCCATGACCCTCCACGCTGGCCCATTGCGGATTGGAGGGTATTAACGACTGCAAATGCAGCCGGGACCAACGGCTTAACGTGCCTTCCGAAGCACGGAGTAGCTCGAGATAATAATTTTTTGGTCACCCATCCCGTGACCGACCCTTGCGAAAGTTGCTTAACGACTACGATCGCGGGCCGCGGCGCTTATCCATTACGCCACCGAGCATATGTGTCATAACATTGTGGTTCAATAAAATGAAACCTATTTCAAAATATAATAATGGTATTATTTTATTGAAGCTATATGACGAGATAGTGATGAGCTCGAGGGCGTTTTTAACAGAATATTATAGGTGTCTATAGAAAGGTATCCATTTAAAATTTTTTTTTAGTTATGATGATGACACTTCCCATGTTATCTACATGACTCCATTGCGGTTATATACTTTTATAATGTCTACAACATTTATATAATCAAATATAAGCTTAAAAATCTCATAACAGAGCCTAAAATGTCTATTTCATCGTATACGTACAATTCATAATCTAAATGGTGATTTTAATCTTAAAATTATACAAGCAAATAATATGTTGTTGACTTATCTAAACACTACGCAATATTCGTTCAAAATTTAACAATTTAAACAAGAAATGTAGAACACTTTCGCTTTCCCTGTTTATACACTGCATTTGCATAGTTAATTAAATAAACATTACAATAGTTATCTTCCATTTAACGCAGAGTTAACGAAGTCCAGTTAGTAACTTAGTATGCAATAATTGTTACGACTTAAATTAGCAGTAGGGCAATTCGCTAACGTTAACGTAATTATGGAAAGTCAAAAGCGTTTCAACTACACCCTTTTTTGACACATATCTTGCTATTAGATCACAATAGATTACAAAATAATAAAAATATCTGTCACCATCGATTTGTGAGGAAGTCCTTGCACTAATAATATTGGATTTAAGGTAGATACCACAATGGCAAAATGCAAGTAGTTGAGACTATTGAAATGTGATTTTTACATAAAAATTAGCAGAATCGAGACCCTGTGGTGATGCGGACCGTCTGATGACATGTGTATAGCCTGTGCATTATTTTAGAAACAGTTTCTTTTTCTGTGTATTATTTTAGAAACACTTCCAATATAAGTCATAGTCAAAATAACCTTTTTTTTTCAAATAAGGTTTTTTTTTTTTAAATAAGGATTTATGTAGTTCTTTGTGGTGTACAATAAAGTATTCATTAGGTCACATTTTTGTATTTAGTCATCATAAACCATAGTCATAGCTAATAGAGTTAGATCACACAATGCGTTTAGGTGTGTTGTCAACCTCGTCGGTTTTATTTAGTGCGTTTGCCGCTAATCAATTGGTTAAAATAACTGTTGTATGTCGGAAACGGTCTTGTACCAACTAATACTGTTAAGCGTTGCTATCCGCTGCCGTCATGATGAGAGTGCATATACAGATATGTCCGTGGCTACACTGATAGCGCGTTTTAGGTGCTAGAACGGATGCAGCGATTTGACAGCGCAATAATGTGCTACGTGGTTTGCCATGTGAAATAAATCCAGCTGATCCAAACAGAGAACTGTTATGTAATTGTCTAATTTCAAAATTTCCCGCAAGCCCTTTCAAAGTTATACGTAACGTTTCGCAATCACTATCATATGTCAGAAGTTCGTGATCAAATTTAAAATGTCAAATTGGCGATAGATTTAAAAATTAGTTTATGAGGGCTCTGTTTCAATAACAATAAACAGTTGTGTTTTGCAAATAAAATCTATTATATTACAGCACCAAATCTTATAATATCTCGCTACTTGACTATAATTAAGTTCGGTGTCTATTTAAAGTCAATTATACTTATTGCATCATTATTATGTTTGGCATATAATTGTTATTGTCTGTGCGTGTTATGTAGATTAAGCTAGTTCACCCAGAAGCTTAATAGCTCATTGTCAAACGCATAGTGCGGTTTTGATCTTATCCGATTGTGTAACGGTATTATTAACCCATTCAAATGATAAATTTATTTCGTAAGTGGTATGCAAATTGGTGAATTACGTTGTTTTATTTTACGCAGAATTTATTTTGGTTTGAGACTTTGTAGAGTATAAATTTTACCGACATAATTTTATACTAATGTACTATGATTTAGTAATTATCTTATCATGAAAACATCAATGTTTTATAACTAAGTTTATTTTTAATTTTACTATTAAGTTATTTACAACGAAAGTATATTTTGTAAATATAATTCATGTCAAGATAAAAAATACAATTGAGAAAATTTTCAATATAATATTAATTCTGAATTTTTTAATTTATTAATTATTTTAATTATTAATTCGATATTAATTTATTTTGTTGAAAATTCAAATAATGCGTGTGACCAAAAAGATCTTTAGGGTAATTTTCTATTATTAAATATCTTGATATAATGAACGAACCCGGCGACATCCTATGGAAACGTAGGTCGTCAATTAGATGGGTCCTGCCGAAATGGTGTAAGTGTTATTGAGTAACTTAACGAATATCAATGTACACCACATTGGTATTTGTTAAATATATATTTCTATAACCTTAAAGAGTATAAATATGCCTGTACCTTATATAAAGAAAAATGCTTAAAATCCATCAGTCCCAAATACCTATACATAATCCGAAACCACAACCTTTCGGAATCCGGACGACTGCTCTAACTAACTATGGAGTTACCCGAGATTCAAACGGACTGACGAATTTCTTATGCATTTGTTACTTTTTGCTACTATCGAGAGTATTTTCATCGATGTTCAGGCAATCCATCTAAAATATTTTTTATTGATGCATTATTTACCCACTTTCATAATATTACATACTACTTACTTTGTTGTTATATAAGCCTAGTGCGTCGTCGTATTTATTTGATAGCCGTTGTAAGTCTATACCGCCAAACTATATTCTATATATTTTTTCTTATAACACCTGGTATTATTATACCTTATAACATTATCAACTTTAACAACCTTAATGCTGTTCTTCAACAAGATCATTTTACTAGTCCTAGCAGTAATGACGTAAGTAGGTAGTTTGCGGTTTTTGCAACACAGGATGTATTAACTTTGAAGTAGGTATAACAATGACATCTTCCATAGAGATCCTTTTAGTGTCTGCACATTGCTGATAAATGGTAGGTAAAATTTCTCAAAGATAATCTCTGAATCTCAATGTAGAGCAGAGGTTGATTATCCTTTAGGCAGGTTAGACACGTGCCTATGCGTTGCTTGAAAAATTCGTCAGTCCTGTTCCTGGAGGTGGGTCCTGGGTAACTCTGTTGTTAGGGCAGTCGCCCAGGAGTGGGTATTTTTTCAGAGTACCTGTGGCTGATGGATTTTTTAAGAATTTTTCATTGAAAATGTTTATTACTTAAAATGGTTCGTAATTATTTTTCGAACATATTACAGAATCCTGTATTTTTCATTTTATAGGACACAAACCTAATATCATTGTGTTAATTGACTTTAGGATATTAATCTGTTACTAAACAGTTGTTACTTGTTATAGTAATTCCTGATTTATATTTGTTGTGTTACCAAGTAAATAAATAAAAATAGACAATTGAAAGAACGAATAATGATATAGGTTTATATGAGTGTCAAAACAAAATTAAACTTATAGCTATAGACCCCTGTCTGTATCGTTTCCGTATAGTACTGCGTTTTATTGTACGAGGCGTTATAGGCCGTTATATTCGAAAAGGTTTCAGCAGTGTTATTCTGTTTAAAGTAGAGCGTTGAGCACAGCGCTGTCACAGCATTATTGGTTCAACAAATAAAACCTTTATTATCTTTTAAAATAAGTTTTGATGTGTTTTACGCTGCGTTCGGTGCTGTATTTTTACAGAATAGCAAAGTTGGACTCTGAAATATGATCTATTCATCATCATCATCATGATCAAGTTTATAATAATTGTTTACTATCAGAATAGGAAAAAAACATTACATTTTTCGCGTTTAGATTTTACCAATTTTATCTTAATTGAATATTAAAATATTACTTTCGAGTGTTTACCTAAAACGTTGATGGAAATATAACGGTTAAAGAGACCAGCGAAAGTAACAAGAACTTGAGACGTTGAGACAGTCTCACTAAAGATTTGTGGTGCCTTACTCAATTAGTAGAAGTCTCTTGATTAGTATAAGTTTTGAGTTTGAAACTAATCGGGAATAACTGAGGCGGTTTAATTTTTCAAATATTCAATTATAAGCAGCATTCTTATATCGGTCGCCTTACGCCTTCAACTATCATACACTTTTATTGTGTAGTATTTATGTTTGTTGTAAATTTTCATATAATATATAATATGATTTATTATTGTTTCAGATACTCGGAGTAGCGGGTGGCAGTACCTCAAGATGCTAACAAATATTGGGCCAAGGGCCCACCAAAACGTGAAGAAGTAAGTTGTCTATTTTTAACAAATCTCAAAACAATAAGCTAGACCCATTTTTAATTTACTAAAATAAAAAAAAATATTAAAAATACTTTTAATAATTTTTAAATACTTTTAATAATTTTTACGAAAAAAAATCGAAGATTGTATGTGCGCGAAAAAATAAATTTAACAATTAATGGTTCTTCCCCATGTACTGGTAACTTCTCGAAGCCTGTTAGAAAACCCGTTCACGATGTCTGTTTTGTCTAACTGAGGAATATTGGTCTACTGCTCTATTGCCACAGTTTTCAACTCCGTGATCATGGTGGATTTCGCGCTCGAATTAGTGAAATGAAATGAAAATATCTTTATTCAAGTAGGCTATTACAAGCACTTTTGAATCGTACAAAAAATTTTTTTTTTCCCCTACCACTTGTTCAGGACGTCTTTTAGCTGACAAGAAGAACAAGCGAAAGAAACTTACCAGCTTTTTATCATAAGTAATGACATTTACATAAATCATGTCATTACCAAAATAATATGTATTATCACAATAATAAATACAACTTTCAAAGTCTGTAGGACATAGGTTGAACATATAATTAGTCTTTATAGAACAAAGCGAAGGCTATTAATTCCATGCATTGCGATCCTTAAAATAATCATCAACTTTATAATAGCCTTTAGTCATAAGTATATTCTTTACATGAATTTGAAATTTATTTATGGGTAGGTCAATTAAGCTGTTTCAAACTTGTTTAATAATGTAAAGGTTTAGGATATGGGCTGACAAAGGTGGAGTATACCTACAATGACAGTGGTGTCTGTGTCAGCGATAATTAGTCAGTTGATATATTCACAGATGATTCATTTTTGTGTGTCAACAAATAATAAAAACAGAATAAAATAAATATTTAAGAAGCATGTGCTCACATGTCTTTTTGAATTTGGTATTTCTTTTGTATTAGGTATTTTATCGATATCGTTTGAGCGAACCCTTTCATTTGAAATCCATATTACGAGAGTGCTAAAATCATATCTTTTTAGTTATCTTGGGTGATTTATTAATTCAGAATACTTTATTATTTTTCTTAGTATATCTGTACATTTGATACACGAAAAAATACTATACTATGTAGAGCAGTCCTTTAAAAGTTAGGACTCAAAATTATCATGGTGTTTAGACTAAGCCTTACTCTCTAAAACTGACCATAAATCATAATCCAATAGATTAAGATTTGGACCAGATGACGGCCAGTCTTTAGTTCTGATGAAGTCCGGAACGTTGGTAATAATTGGGTGCACCAAGCTTTATGATCTGCTCAAAAATTTTTTCTTGGTTATTAAACATGAACCTTGATATATTTATGCCTATGTTTTGATGCCTTTTTCAGAATAAAAATATTATAGAAAATACGCCGCATTCTTTTTGCTTTAATTTGTAAAAAAAATGATTTTATTTTAAAAAAAAATATTCTTCGTATTTGTGAATCAATCGTGAATCGTTGTTGATTATCATTGATACATTGCTTGAAACTTTAAAATTGTACATAAATTTTAAGAAATAATAAACAATAACGCTTATTATTTAAAAATGATTAAGAACTATAAAAAAGTAGTCTTATTTAAAACGCTACAGCCGCTACCGAGTCAGAGAGTCAGTATTATTTGTCGAATTTTCAAAATATGTTTGTTTTATTAATAAAAAAATAGATATTGAACAACTGCAAGCGGGTTTCTTTCAGTATAATTTCCCCTTTCATAAATTTTAACGCTCACGATTGTTACAAAACGCCGAACTTGCGTTTATGCGAAAGTAACGTACGCATATACGCGTTTGTTGAATAAGTAAACAGCTTTCATCACTACTTTACGAAGACGAATATGAGAATTATTACAAAAACTTACCATTATGGTTGCCAAACGTAGGTATTATAATAATATTATACAGGATAATATGTGATCAATGTATTAAGATAATATACGTTACATAAATAAATTGTACGTTATAATTCTCCCTTAACCGACCTGGTATCGGCGATACCTTACTGTACCTGGTAAACTTTCATGACCTAATTTTCCTAATTGTCACAATGTGTACGGTACATATTATATAAAACAATAATTATAATAAAATTATGTACAAGAGAACTCAAGCTTACACTGACAATGGCTACCTACACAAAACTTGTGTAGAGTTTTTACATTAACTCTTTGAACAATTAATAAAAACTCAACATTAGACATGTCTACCGAGCTTTTAACTTTCTACTCGTATTAATTCTACTATAGTAGTACATACAAATGTTATATAATATTTGTATACTCTGTTCCTATAACGTCAGAGATTCCATTTCGTATAACAATAGGTAGTTCTCCCCGGAAACGATAGATAAACGGACATTTCTATCGTTTCCGGGGAGTATGTGTATCGTTGTCTTTCAATGACCACATAATACTTTGTGTCTTGATCGTTTTTTCACCTGCTCTGGGAACAGACTGTAGCTGTTTAAAAAAGGGTTCGAGGTATTTTTCATATGGGATATTATTTATGTCTTAATCTTTGATTATTATTTTTTCAAAACGTTTTTCTTTGTTTTTTATCGCGTAATTATTATAGCTGTAGATATTTTCTTAAAATTGTTGACAACCCTAGTCATCATCCACGGTTATACACTCACAACATTGTGGTAACTGATATAACAACTTTTTAGAGGTTAGGAGTAGGAATAGCTTATGTATGTTATACGGCCTTTTCGGTGCAACAAAGGTACTGAACCAATGAAATAATTTTTTAGTGCGGAACAACCTTAATTTGCGACATTGTAAAACTTTTGAGAAATAAATATTACTTGGGAAATTTAGTAATATGGTCACTCATTCATTAATTCATGTAATTTGAATGCGATGTAACGGGCCTACTGCGTAACTGGAGCCATGAGTGATCTGTCAAAATGAACCGTTGAACGATCTGTCACGCTGACAATTCAAGTGTCCAATGAACAAGACCAATTCTGATTCGTCAGATGACCAAAAAATCAAAATTCAAAAGAAATATGAAAGGACCTTGGTATAATAGGTACCTACTCAAAAGTAGCCGCGTAGGTAAAATGACAAAATAAACATTTATATTTTTTAAAGCTAATTAGTTATATAGTTGGGATTCCAGTGACGTAATACTTGCGATATACAGGGTTATATTTAGCTTGGTTTGAGGATTTAATAGTAGTTTTTGCTTGTGTTACAACATTTCTACTTCGCGTGCCAGGTAGCCAACCAAAGAATTATTAGCGAGTTATTTATGCTATTCGATTATATCGCAAAATCGTTCTAACAAATTTTAACACGGTCGTCAATAATTGCGATCAAATTAATAACTAAATACCAATTCATGCTCTTATTGATATTAGAAATAGTTATTTTGTTTACAATATTTACATACAGGATAAAACTTTAGCCAGTGCAGAAAATTTATATTGTGTTCTCTTCAGTGACATTTTAGTCATACTACAAAAAATATATTTTTAAATAAAGGAGATGGCTATAAACACGTTGCTAATTAAGAAATACTTTCTATACACGGAGGGCAATGACCGTATTTTGTCAACATTTCTAAACCTTATTCACTAATAATACTACCTATGTATGAAATATTCTAAAAAATATTTAATTTTATAATGAAATTTGTAAAAAAGTCGTATTCACAATACTAAACCATTTATTATGAGCGTGAAAATATGTGCACACTGAAATCAATTTTTCACTGTATACATTTTACAAGGTAAATATTTGGCAAAGTACGTATTTGGCAAATTTACGCTCCAGTAACTGACGTAAAGTAATTAAATGAGGTTAAAACCTAGTTTTGGGGATATTATTAACTTCAATATCGTTATTACCTTTACAAAAAATTATATTAGAGAGAGCTACTTTACAATAAAATTAATAACAAATACGTGAAACAAAAATGTTGTTAGCCTTTTGAGATATTTTTCTAATTATGTGATCTCAATTTATTTACCATTCTTGATCCAGCCTTATTTATACATTCATCGAATAGAGACATCTTAAGAAGGTACATGATGTTTGAGATAAATAAATATCAGACAACATCACATACATTGCAAGATCAGTAGCCAAAGCTCCTGTATTATGGAGTATCTGAGACAACGAAGGTACCACAACTCCCAGATCCGAGACAATATAAGAAAGTCCTTTTCTACATTGATCAGACCGGGAATTGAACCCTGGTCCTCAGAGATAGCGACATCTTGAATTTGGGTCGTATATTTAAGTAATAGATTGCTAATATACAGTTTTCTATTTTCATGCGTACTTAAGATGTGAAACTTTTCTTCTTTTAGATGGTGACGTGTGAGACTGATAGCGCGCCACTCAGCGGTTTCCGCCTGGGCGCGCGCGACGACGAGTCACGGCGATCGCGCGCACCCAGCGTATCATCTATCTCACTCTACAAACAGAAGATAGATGCGCTGTTCGACGATACACGGTCGGTCGCAAGTTTGCCGCAGTATACTCACATGACCGTGTCGGAATTGGGAAGAAGAGATAGCAAGGTAAAATACTTAATAATATTTCTTAATCTGCTGTAATTAAGGAGTATTTGTCGAATATTATATTTAAATTTATAAATTCTGATACGATTTATACGATGTAGTAAATATTAATAAATACGTTGTTTTTAAATTTCAGGTCAGTTCTGCTCGCGATAGTAAAGCAACCATATATGAAGATGACGATGATTACTGTCAAAATAAAATTAATAAAATCAACAACACAGTACAGGATCGCATAGAGAGGATGTTCGCAGATATGGCAGGCGAATCAAAACAATCTTCAGAGAACATCGGAATCCATATATTTAATGTTCACTACCTTGGGTCAACGCCTCTCCAAGACAAAGTTACGAGTTTATCTGGACTGCAAAGACCACTTAAAGACTTATATTTTGCATACAGAAGAAACTTTCGCCATAAATGCACTTTCGCTGGTCGCTTAGAAATATCAAAATCTGGACTTAAAGTAAGATATAAAGGGGAAAAAGGTGACTTGGAGCAATTGAATCCTTTCCCAACGATAGCAGTCTGGTCAGCTGTGAAGTTTGTCGTTCAGCCTTCAGAACATGAATCTCATGACCTTAGCTATGCTTTCTTGCCCTTAATAACCGATCCAGATAACATTGACCGTCACGCTTTATTTCGAATATTAGAAATACCAGATAAGAAGTACATTCTCTCTCACAACGAAAACTCTCATTCCCCACTTTTCGCTGTCGTGATGAGAAAAATTGGCGTCGCTAAGCAATTGGAGTGTCATGGGTTTGTATGTCAGACGACAGAAGACGCTATTGTTATAGCAGCTACACTATACAAGTCCCTTATGTCACACATGAGCCGTCAGGGCCATATCGACAAAAAGAAATTGAAGAACCGAAACGGGGTTAGCTGTATGAGTATTACGAGCAGTCTATCGCCAAATGACGTCCCCATAAGACCACCTCGTAAGAAACATAGTACATCTTCCATGAGTGGAGATAGTGATAGGGCAGATGGTTATTCTGCTAGTGAATCGTTTAGTGAAAGACCTAAATCAGAAAGAACTAAAAAAATATCATTAGAGAGTTTACCTCAGCCTCCACCGCCACCAACAATTCTTCCCGCCGAAGCTAAAAGAATCACAGTCGAAGAAGTGAAAGCGAAATTAGACTCAATAAAACATAATGATACTAGTGGAAGTGATACACAAGGATCAAAGAAGTCGGTACAGAAAAAAGCCCTCAATCCCTGCATAAACAAACTTCAAAATGTCCAGAATCCTCAGAGTAGTAACGAATCATCTGTTAGAAGTAAAGTTTCGGAGAAAATAGAACTTTTTAGGGAATTGGAAAGACGCAAAAATTTACAAAGACCACCTACTCTACCACCACCAGTACCGACCAAACCAGCTTTAGATCCTCCCTTAGAACAAGCAAAGGAGACTTTAAGAAGAACTCAGAGCGGAAGAAAGTCTTTAAACGAGTCTGGTGATATATTAACTAAAGTTGCCATTCCACGATCCGGTAGCTTCCTTAATGCTGGGGGACTTACGAGGTACAAGTCGATTGGACAAAGGTACGTTTTATAGACGTTGAATAATTGGTACTACATGCCTAATTGGCGGTATGCTACACAACTCATTTGCTAATTTGTACCTTACGAGTGAACAATGTCATTTCCTGTATATCCAATATTGGCTCTATTCGAACGTTATGCTGATCGCTAAATAACTTGCTAACGAGAGAGGAACGGAACGCGCTTATTGAAGTGTTTCACCATCTTGTGCATGCAAGTAATTGTGCTAACGCAACCGCGTCCGCAACATTCCTCTAATCTAGTGTAACACCCGTGATATTTTTTTACTTATCATCACTAGTACATAGATATCTGTATATTGCTTCAGCTAACATATTTTTGTAACCAAATTTAATTTGGTAAATGTAACAAAATGCTAATTTTTATGTTTCAGGAATAACGGTAAGAAAGGAGGTGGTTCACCATTAGGGTTCAACGAACTTTTCAATGAATTCAAAGTTCAGGAGAACTTGCACTCCATGGATGAAATCCTGAACGCCATAATTGACGCAGAAGGAATGTCCTTCAACGACTTAAAGCCGATTTATAAAGAATTTCTTTTAAAATTAGCCGTTACATTAACGAAAGACGAAATATTCCAACATAGTAAAGCGATAATGAAGAAGCAGAAAAAGAAGATATTGAGAAGGAATAGCATTTTTCAAAATAAGAGAAGAAAAATTTTCAAGGGAGCAAGTGGTCTTCGGATGGTTTTTCGAATGCCATTCGGAAAAGATATTCGGAAAAAAGATAAGAAAAAGCTTTCATCGTTCGATTTTCAAAATGCAACAAGTAACAAAGAACCTGTTTCTGAAAGTTCAGTGTCTACTTCTAGTTATGATTTGAGACAATTTCGTCCCAAAGAACCGGTCATACCTGCTCCAAAAAGACAAGCGTCACGACAGCGAAATTCCAAGCGATCAGATAAGATGGTTTATGTGTCAAAACGAAATGGCAAGGTATCAAGGCCGGGTGAGAGGACGTCTACATCCGAAGATTCAGATTTCCTAACTCTTAGTAATAGACTTGGCTGTCAAAATAGGAATAGTTCTAGTGGATATGTATCATGTTCTGAATGTGAGTCAGAAAGTTGTGTTGACCGTTGCTATTGTTCTTTAAAAGGAGACGATTTGAAATCGAAATGTTACTGCTCTGCGGTTGAAGATAAAGACCTATCAAAATCAAGATTACTGAACAAAAGTAAAAGCTGCAAGGATTGTTCAAGGTACTATAGATTTGATAATTATTTTTTTCAAGGTTCAAGGTGACTTACCATCATTTACACATTACGTTTTAAAGTCCATTTATCAAGAAAATTCTTAACAGCCTCTTAAGTTAATTATTGTTTTATAACTTTAACTTATCTCGACTATTTAATTATCACGAAGCGCATTGTTATTTTTAACATAATTTCTGTTTACTACCAAATTTCTCTACTTTCATTTGTCTACGTTTTACATTTCATTTAGTTTTAATAGAGGCACATCTCGGAGAAATGAGTGTCTTTAATTTCATTTACGGATTTGTCGTAAATATATCTAAAGGAATTTCTGCCTTATTTAACGTTATTTATGGTTCATTATAAGATAATAGTAGTTTTTTGTAGAAATGAAATGTGTGCGGTGATTATTAGAGCGTGGCGCGTCCGCAGCCCGCGACGCCTCATGAGTAACTAAACTCAATTATAATTATTTACAGTTGAAAATGAATTTCTTATGTTCCCATCACAATCGTTATTACTAACTTATAATTGTTCTTTAGGATATGCCTACTCAATAATCGCCATTGGACAAATTACTTAACTCTAATTTCATAACTTGTACATAAGGCACTGTCCAGTTTTCTGGTCTCGAGATTTTACTTTTAAGAGGGTCTCTTCCCACAAATCGCTAACTTTCAATTGGTTTTATATAAAAAAAATAGCGTTCAAATAAGCTGTAATAAAAAAATAAGAAAACTACATCATATTTTTTTATCACATCTAGAACGAGAACCTAAAGACAATTCTCGATAAAAAACACACCATGGTTTCATTTCTTGTTCTTGACATATATATATATGTGTCTTCATGAAGGTACATTTTTAAAGTCTTATGTTAATTTGTTTTTCAGGGAAATGTACGATGCTGATTTTTCTTACTGCTCATGTGATTCTGAGAGTTGTGCCGATAGTAATAAGTGCTACTGCGCTGGCCCGAAGCATACCAGCATGCAGGCCTCACAAAGTCTGGAATATCTCCGCAGTCCATCACAGAAGACCTATTCCGACAGGATGAAGAAGGCATTCGATGAATACGACGGTCAAAAATCTAATAGAAGGTACACAATTTAATTTAATGTACTCATATTTAATATATGAGATGAGATGGTGTGAATAGACTTAACCTAGGGTCAAGGGTCGGTATACCTATATCGGACGGAAGATGCATCGAGTCTGGTGGTGGCAAAACATCAGAATTATCAGATAAGCCCTGCGATTCTGTAACAATCCAGACCCGAATTCAAATTCACTCATGTGTCCGAATTCTCGTCATTTAGTATAGAAATCATATTGATTCCATTTTTTGTATAAAAATACTAAACAAAATTGATTGATTAAACGTGTTTTAGATATTTTGATCCTATATCATTTCGAAACTGACTTCACTTATTTCGCGAAACATTATTACCAATTCAAGTTTGAGCGGATGCCGCTTTTTGAAGTGAATTCGGACACCCGAGTGGATTCGAAATCGAGTTTGAAATTTTACAGAATCGCAGGGCTGATCAGTAGATCTTCTGTCAGATTTAATTTTATATAATAGCTTTGTTAGATCTCATCTTGAATATGCGTCTACTGTTTGGAACCCGAAGTATTCGATATATATTAAAGCTGTAGAAGAAATCCAAAACAAATTTATATGGAGGCTGAAATACAGGTTTCAGGGATTTTGCGAGGACAAAGTTGAATCACTGTCGCGCAGAAGGGAGCATAGGACTTAACATTGTTATATAAAATCATCAACAATTATGTTGATTCTCCTTATTTACTTAGTAAAGTCCTTTTAAAGTGCCCAAGGAGTAACCTGCGTTCTAGGGATACTTTTTCCGTTCCTTGGAGCCGAACTAATTATGCTAATAACCGTTTCGTTGTTAGAACTATGAATGCTTACAATTCTGAATATGGTCATGTTGATATCTTCAATCTCAAACCACATCAATTTAAAAAACTGATAAAGAATAAACTATAATTTTCTCTCAGTTACTTTAAATCATACCTATTACAGTTGCTGTGAATGTTTGTGATCTTGAGACTTCAATTTGTGTTTTCATGTCATGTTATTCCTAGTTTATCGTTTATAAAAAAAAAAGAAAACTTAAATTATTAACTGTAACGTTGTTCATTGTTTGTTCGACATAGCATTGCACGTGTTTAGCAGTGGAAACTGTCTAGGCTACTGTACTACTTAATTGAATTATGTATATTCATGTGTAACTCAATGCTGTTGTTTCCCAAAATGAATAAATAAATAAATAAATAAATTTGCACCGAACCTAATTCTCTTTCGAGAATAGGCATAATATACCATTTTAGTAAATACTTTGTAGTACACCTATATAAAAATATAATTGCATATTGCCTTTTTTCAGATCCAGTGCAGTGTCAGGTCGACGACGGGATGAACGCAGTCGGCGTGCACGGAGTTCTGATAGTCTTGCACTTGACTATGAACTTTTATTGCAAAACAAAGCACGAGACACGAGAAGCAGGAATATGCAAAGACTGACTGGTAAGTCTACCGTCCGTAGTATATTATTGTATGTTTTGGGTATGTGATGAGAAGGGACGATTTATATATAGGGAACATGGTTTTGGTTGGGCATGAATATGGATGGGAGTTAAGTAGAGAAAGACCGAAAAAAATAAAGGTGAAATGTGTGAAAGATCAATGTGGATATATAGGTGATGGCACGTAAGACTAATAGATGCCAGAAGTCTAAGATGTTCTTGGTTATCACTATTATCTTGCCGACCAGCTATTTGGCACTTTCTTTGAAGGACTATTTCAGACCATTAGAAATACTAAGTATTTATTGGTGTATAATTATTTAATTTACAGTTCGCAGTACGGGAGCGGGTTCGCATGACGCTTTAAGCGTCAAAAAGTCTGCAGAGATGGCAGCTCTATTTGCTGACGTGAGATTATCTCAGAGGACGGACGTGCGCTCATTGGCTGGTGGACGACGTGCTAGACCTCCTCCCCTTCCCCCCACCCCGCCGCGCGCGGCACCTCAGCTAGCGAGGATGTTCGACCACCGACCTCTCAGTCGGAATGCCAGTCTAGAAGACACTTTAGGATATCTACCATAGATTCAAATATCAGTTTCTTCCCTGTCAATGCTGTACTGGGTTAAATTCAGACATCTCATATCTCCACTTATATTTTAATGCCTTCTGCGGTTCAACTTCAAGGATCAATGAGATGGATAATGTATCTGTTTTACCAAAAATCTGAACAGAACTTTCTGAATGGAACAAATCATAACCTATAAAAATAATTATTTGTATGTATCTAATTCTGTTCACATTCATGACAAGAACGGATCTTATGATAGTATATCAATTCAAGAACGAGGCGGATGAAACGAATTACTTTGCACCTCGCTAATGAATGACAGGACGATTCAGTTCGTACTGGTATTTCTGTTTTCATATAAACAATTCTAAAATTCGTTTCTCAAGCCTCCATCAGCGCGATCGTTGAGGATTTTCAACATGCGCTTAAAGGACTATATTAAACGCCTCGCGATCAGTGATTTAAATTATTTGTTAAAAATATTGAAGATACCCAAAATCTACTTATCAATATGTGAACAGATACTCAAAGATTTATGCCAGATCAATTACATATTGTCGACGAAAACAGTGTTAAAAGATGTTCTCCTGTTTCCACCTCTCAAAGCAAATTATGAAATAGAAATCTCTAGGACAGGATTATTATGGAAATATTTATTTTACCAGAAATTCTTGTTATATTTTTATAACTATATATAAACGTATACCACCTTATTCGATAAAATAAGGATATTAAGTATATCGATTGTTCATAACGTAACATTATTTATCTATGTATGTAGTTATTTATTGTTGAAAATAACCTTTATTATACATAGGTGCAAGTAAATGAGTCACTCTTAGATAAGTGTAAATGTAACTTATATTGTTCTTTTGTTTTAAGGATGTCTCAATTATCTTAGTTTAAGCTATGAAACGGTTTTTATAATGTTTTTGTAATTTTTAATGGTGTCCCTAAAGCTACAACTAGTATCTTTAAATGAACTTGCTCCTGACTGTCAGTTATTGGTAATGACTCATATATTGGAGTTGTGCATGTCTAAAATTAGATTATATACTCGGCTACACATAAAAAAAATACAAATTTACTTTTGAGTATAAAGCTTAACTGTTCAAATTAAAATTTAAAATGTTTAAAAAAAATTATACATTTATGTTACTTGACATGCTAATGTGTTTACAAATAAAGAAATATTTTATTTCAATCCACTAAAGTATGTGACGACTGACGACAGAAGCAATTCATTTAATATAGTCTATAGGCAAGCACTGTCCATGGTAAGTAAAGCTTCACGTCTATTGGCTTGGATGTCACATTTCTTTCCAGGCAGCAGACTTATGTCTGGCCTGCCCCTTTACCGCATAATTGATTAGTTCCATTTTAATTAGCATCAGTTGAACACCACAAATTTACCTCCACAAAGCTCTAATAGCTAGTTATTTTGCAGCTATGTAAAAGTTCCTTTATAATTTTTAATTAGTTGTGTTTTCTGTCAAACTTGATTATGAGTTTTATTTTTTTTTCCTTTCTGATCTTCATATTATCACCATCAAAAAGTTTTACAAAGTGGAATTATGTTACCGCTTTTTTGTATTCATTATTAAAATCACGTTTCATAGTGAATATAAGTTAATTTGTTTAGTAAAGCCTTAATAGATCATAAGTTTAGCTTAATTATGCATTTGTTGACCTTACCAGTGGATTGTGCAATCGAGGTGCAATATATTATTGTGTATTTTTTAAGTTTGTTAGTGCTGGCTCACTTGCCAAGTGCAATATTATGCTGTAAATATATATTTTTTTATTTAAAAACAATAAATTTTCGAATATAAGGTTTTTAATTTTAATTTTACACTTCTTTAAAACATATGAACTGTAAGGTAAATTATGTCGTGTTCCTTGATTATTATTGATTAGCTTTAATATTTTGCTTACGTCAAGATGGCGAGATCACTAAGAGACTACCATTGGCCTCCAATATTCATTTTGAGATGATTATCTTGTCACATTATGCTGGGTATGAAATAAGATACGCGTTGATAACCGACGGTTATTAAGTCAACATGGTGTCTTATTTATCACCCGATATGAAATAATGAAGATATCATATGACGACCCTTGTAACTATGTAAAGTAAACATAATTATGTACAACCTATATAACTACTAAGTATTAGTTATATCATCTATAGATAGAAACTTTAACCTCCGTAGTTTGAATCAGTCTGGAGGTCTCTTTATCATCATTTCTTAGTACATTGTTAGTCTTTTAATAACCTTGTTAAAGTGCTTACTTTAACATTAAGCTTATTATAATATGTTCCTATATCAAGTTTTATTAAGTCATCGTTAAATCATTCGCCCAGATAACTCTCTTTTGTTACACTGAAGTTAAAATATGTTTTTAAAATGGGAGTTCATATGTGAGAAATTAGACAATTTTAGAAACTATTTGTTGATTAGCAGGGTTAGGACAATATTGTTTTGTTGAGTTCAGGGTTAAAGATAATGTCCCGAGGACTTCAAATAGAATAAGTAGGTTTGTTTGATTTTTAGAGGTACTTATTATAAAGTCCCATTCGGTAGTTTTAAAAATTCCCCAGTGCACAGACCTTCCCTATGGATTGAAACGAATCGCATAGGGAAAAAACGCCATGACCACGCTGGTCTAGTATGGATTGGTAGGTGTTAGCGACTACAAATGCAGTCGAGACCAATGACTTTATGCGTTTTCGGAAGCACAGAGGAGCTTATATGAATGTTTCGTTAGCCACCTATGACCAGACGGTCCTTGTGGAAGTTGCTTGACTTCTGCATCGCAAATCGAACTCGATTACCACTGCATCATCTAGCTACGAGTGATTTTCAAATTATTATTTTTGGTTAAAAATGGATCACAGGGCATTTTGTAGCTAATCTGGGCCTCGATTCTACTAATATTGTACTTCTTTGGCATTACAATTAACAGCATTTTCTCATTGCTTTATCTTTCTGTGTCGTAACTTATCTGTTTTTCCTTAATATTCACTCGTATTCTATCGCATATCTTTTATTGAATTTTGCTTTTAATTTAGCATTTCATTATTTTACACAGTTTACAACTTAGCGTTTTATTCTTATTCACATATTATACCACCTTTTATATTGCTAAAAATATAAAACTTGTACTAACATTTTAAGCCGCGACGAGGTTTTATCTGATGTTTTGCCCACTTACATTAATGAAAACTTACGTTTAGTACTGTAGCTTCTTTTTCTTCCGCTAATACGCAATCTTCTCTCCCTTACCGTTCCCATGTATAAAGAGCACTGCTTGGTTTTCCCACCTGGGCTGCCAAGACCGGGGCCTTCCTAGCCACATGGCTGCATGAGGGCCACATGAAGACCTTCCTCGGACCTCCCTCGCAGTGCTCTCCTGCCCGTGGCCTACGGGCAGGGGCTCATCATCCTGCGGCGCTGCCAAGTTTTATGTGCAGATATATTTTGTGCAGATACGTAACCCAGCCTGGCAGCATCGGGGCATAGTTGGTTACACCTGATTCTGTTTATGAAAATCAACTTGCACTCTGCTGTTTTAGGTATTCACTCTCATAGCTCACGAATTTATAGAGTTCTAAATTGAAATTGCTGAATTTCTGAGCTCGTTTTAATAATGCCTAGTATAATTAATTCTTAAAACACTTCTACGGTAATAGTTGCTAGTTTTTGGGCTCGCCCTGGGAAGACGAAATTAAAAAAGCGTAATGTGGAATTCTACTCAAGCCTAGGCTTCAAAGTCTTTTTACAATTTTTCAGCTTATACTATTAATACTGCTAGGGGCAAACTTCAGCTGAGACTCACTAAATGGTCCAAGCTACTGCTCGGATCGGACTGAAAGCTGTCTTCCGGTTCTCCTGCGTCTACCTGCATCAGACCCGATGTCGTCGATCTGAACCAAGCTGAGGATTCTGATATCGCCTCAGTGTATTCTGTTTCACAACACCTGACGCCAAATATTATATTAGCAACATGGCGTGTTAATGAACCAATTATGACATTTTTTTTGTTATTTTAGACACAGTAACAAGAAGTATGTCAAAACCTGTAAATGCCACGAGTCGTCATGTTAAGTTACATTAGCCCAATTAAACTCTTGATAGCTGTAAGAATATATAAATGAAGCAAATGTGCCTGGTTCATAAATAAGGATTATTATGCGAAACATGCATACATTACATTCTTACTGTGATCTAACATAAAAGTATGTGGGCCAGAGGAATCGTTGCCAAAGCGGCAAATACTAATAAAGTAAAAGGAATGTAAAAGGTGCGCCGCAGTTACGTATAAATTAAGTAGGTAATTCAATTAAACAGGTGAATGAATACTTGTTGTTGATAAATTTTCTTAACTTAAAAAGTTGGTTATTATAAAACATTGAAACTTGGTGATGAAAAATGAAATAAGAAAACTATCTACTTAGGTTTGGAAGCCTCCGGCTACGCCACGCGCTTCACGTCGCGTCTGTGTTTTCAGTTCATTTCTTTAATATGACAGAATATGCAATACTAAATAAAAATGTACAGATTTGTTGCCATAGCAACCGATCTTTTAATAAAATGTGGCATCTTGGTCAATATACGTAGTTCAGTTCAAGTCCTTTTGGTTTTTATTTAAAGTATACAAGTACCAATTTAACTGAGCTACTAATCAAACAGTATTTATCATGAAATATCAGTGCTTTAAACTTTCCAAGCACCATTCAATCATTTCATTTAAAACTTTAATTTGATAGTCTATGGCGTAATGTGAAAAGGAAATAGTACACCGGTAAGCCTACATACTTATTCTAATGGTCCCTTTTTTATAACTAAGCGTCCTTACATAATTGGTTACGCAGTTAAAGTAAGGAATTAAATCTTAATTTTCGCAAGAACTATAATGGATTGTGAAAAAACCTGTCCTTACCTCAAAGGAAACTACTTCTAGATACCGAGTAATTTTAATTCATTCGATTGCGTTTATATAAACCTCATTTTAGAATAAAAGCGTTCTAGTCCTTACCTTATATGCATGGCTATCTGCATCGGTCCAGTACTAATATTAAGATTTAAAAAATTATTTCTTCAATGGGAGACTACATAATATACGGATGAAGTAGCGTAAATTAAAATGAGAATTGGGGGATCAATTGGGATGTTATTATTGAAATATTTCTTGATGTCAGAATGGAGAGAAAGTATGGAGAGAAAAAACTGAAAATTCGAGAGGAAAATAACAAAAACTAATAGCAGATTGTAAGGTTGTACTGTTTCATGACTAACATTAATGACATATGATAAAGATTTTTTAAATAAAATAAATAATTATTATTCGATAAATTTTTAATTTTAGACTATTTTACAAACATGGAATACATGATGGACGGATGTCGGACATTTCGTCACTGGTGTCTAAAATAAACAATTTATAAGTACATTAACAACGGTTTTAATTTCTCATACTTTTAATTTAATCTCAATTTGAAGGAAAGGCATTATTTTAATCAGTTAATTTATTTACTGGACGTATAAATGAATAAACAGTCAACAATAATCAAAAATAACCCGAAGATGTCATAATGTAATTTTGCGTTTTAATTGTCTATTACAATACAACAGTAAACGACGATTATCTAATGCTGGGTAAGGAGCCGTCTCTTTTGGATTTCTGAGATTCCTTTCTTAAAGGAAGGAAGGGCGCATCGGAGCGGACTTTGTGGGTATGCTATTCGAGTTTTGATTAGGCGGGTCCGTGGCGATACAGAATCCACAGAACCCTTAACAGTATACAGAAAAAAAGGTTATTTAATGCCATTTCCAATCTCTTTTACAATATATTAATAACAATGTACCTACATAACATAATATTCGTCAACATTTTATTTTATATCGTTTAGAAATGTACATTTTAATTATTGTCTTAACAAAAATTCAAGAAAGGATTCTTTCATAGAACACGTGAACAAAACGAATAGTCTTGCGTATTTTACCTACAATAATAAATTGGTTATAATCATCTAATGTGTGATGTATATAATTTATATTTACAGGATAATTACCAATACACCTTCTCAAATTGAGTATTTATAAATATAATTTATAATAAAAATTTCTATCGGATACCTTTACCACTAATTACATGACTAATTTATCCGCTGAGGAAAATTTCCAGTAAATTACAATTGTTTTTTTTAAACACAATATAAGTATACTTAGACAAATTACAACTTTATATTAATGTTATTCAATGACTTTGATGGGTACAAAATTTTTGTAACACCAATAGTTTTCCTTTTAAAGAATTTCAATTTTTATTAACATTATGTTTTTATTCATAGAAAAGGTTAAATTCTTAAATTTATCTTAAACATAACATAAACGTTAAGATAATATACATTTTTTGTTCGGATTTTAATCTAGGTACGATCATAATGGCCTCGAGAAATTAAATTATTATCCATGCCCGTAGGGTAATTCGTTATATATGTCAAGAATATTTAGATTCAAATTAAATATCTATTAAGTTAGATATTTCAAATATGGTGTGATATCAAATCGACGACAGTACAAACATATTTTTTAATTAATGATTTATACTCTATTATGGCTTGATTTTAGTACGGGCGGACAGTGCCTAGTCGTCCTCTAGGTATCGGTTCTGCGTAGCTATGACGGAACTTCGATGGCTGTCTGTCTGCGAGCTCACGGAAATCCCTATAATCTCTCTCGAAATATCTGTCTCTGTCTCCCTCTGCATAAGACTGACGTTGGTCATCCAGCAACCGCGATCGGCTAAAACCTCTTTGCCTATCAGTCCAGTCCCTTCTGCGGTCTTCTATTACTGGCTCTATTATCTCATCTTCGTCGATGCGACGATCCAATTCCCTTTTTTCCCTATATCTATCAAAATCTTCTCTATGCGGCTTTGGTTCAGTCCTATTCAAATAGTCCTCGGTACCGTATTCGTACCTTTTAACATCATCGCGTTTCCTGCCTACTCTGGGAAGTCGTTCAATGTCCCTGTGTATCAACTCTCTGGATTCTTCGCGTACCCTATCATCCTTGCGTCTTTCTGGCTCCCTGTGAGAACGCTCAATATCCCTTTGAGAACGTTCAGGTTCTCTGCGAGAGCTCAGCTCCCGGTGACGCTCTTGTCGCTCGTCCCTTCTTTCCTCCTCTGGGGAAGAAGTCGAACGACTATTCCTTTCGAGCATGCTCCTGCGTATCGCCATATGTTGCTCCAGTTCTCTATTGAATCTTTCTCTTTCCAGATTCATGAACTTCTCTTTAGCAACGTTGAAGCGATCTTTCGGAGAAGTATCAGCTATTTTCAAGCTACCTTCGCTGGCTCCTCGCTGTAATTTTCCGAATCTGCGATCTTCAACTCTGTCAATGCTTCGATTAGAGGGTTTAGTTTCAGCGACGTATCGTCGCCTGTAATTTGTGCTGTCATCGACGTATTTTTCAGGTTTCTCTTTGCTGATGTGTTCTAGGGATTCGTGACGGAACCTTCTTTCGAAAGTGGCGTCTCTGAAAGGTGCTAGTTGGTCTCGGAATTGGTCTTGATAGTCATCGTTGTATGGACGGTCGTAGCCGCGAGGGGAGAGTGTTCGATGTGGTGGTGATGAGCGGCGAGGTGACGTAGCTCGTCGTGGTGAGGTAGCGCGTCTGGGCGGAGAGGCCTCAAACGCCTCATGCATCAAGTACGCTGTGCTCTCGGCCCAGTCTTCCTCTGAAATGGAAAACAATAACTGTTATTCACAAAATTCCTTTTTTTTAGCTATATAATATGGAAACACCGATCTAATAATAAAAATTCATTCACCTACGGGAAGCTAAATTGTAAGTTGATTTTAAAAAAATTTCAATGTTCTGATTACATTTTAATTACAACTTTTACAATATTTGATGACTGTGCATCTGTTCATTTGTTTTCTTACTTAAATAAATATTTACGTTGCATTTCAAAAATTACAATTAAGAGATTAATAATGAAAAAATTATTCTCCCTTTACCTGTAAATTATTTGATTAATGAAGACATTAAACTGTTTCAACTAATTCTAACATTCATTTATTAATTTTTTTAAGATAATTCATTCTTACTGAAATCCATAAGCATTGAACTAATTTTAAAATTAACTTCTTTCTAAGTGAAAGCGGTGTAATCTTAAAAAGGTGCTATAACATTTAAGTTCTAACAGTGAAATAAAGGAAAACAAGATTGGTGAATAATTTAAACATTTGTAGTTCGCTTGCTTAGAAGTCACATAATTTTATGCAAACATTCTCATCCTCGACTTGACCTATACTAATACAACACTGAAGTAGCGTTAGGTGAAGGTGTGTACATAGATACATATGAACGAACATGAAACAAATATTTAGAAGTCGAATATGTGGCCTCTTCGGAGTCACTTTTAAAATTAAAATTTTAAGAAAAAAAAACACAATAATAAAGTATATTTTAATACGCAAAGGTTGGAGAAAGCAAGCAATTATCGCGAGATTAGGCAATGAAACAAACAGAGACAGAACATTAAAAAATGAGTGAATGATTTTATAATCTATAATAAGGTTGTAAGAAAGATATGATTGTTTATTTGTTTGTATCGAACAGGCTCCCAAACTACTATACCGATTTTCTATTTGTTTACCAGCGAGAAGTTATATCATATTCTGGTGTTATAGACGAAATCGTGAGAAAACATCTATTCAATTAATAAATAGAAAAATGATAATATATATTTTATTTTCTCTATAACAATAATATAAATACGAGAAACATCTAAATTTCACTAGTTGAATTTTAGAAATTCACGTTTAATGTTTTCTCAATTAGTACTTCATTTGACTTGGCGTTTTCTGCGGTTTTTATTTGTCAAAAAAATCTTGCGGTTTCATTTATTTAGCTTGACCCATTTAAGGTTTTACATTCTAACATTTTTTTATTCGTATTTAAATGTATGTCTGTACTAGATACATGCGTTTAACACTTGAATGCGGCTCACTTAACGGTGCTCATCTGAAACACACCTTTTTCCAAACTTGTTTCTAAAATCAAATTGACATAGAAAAGAACCTGTCGGCTCCCACGTGCCACCATCTTGAAATTATCAACGCCATCTTATTAAAGTGCGCACCTTTTTAATTGCTATGGGATTTAGGTAATGGTGATAAGTTTCATTTTATATTGTTGTGAACTTGTGGTCTAGTTCTCTTTGCACAATATGACTGAGACAATGATAGTTGAAGGCTCTTTTCATTAAATGCGCTTTCTTGAGTTTTTGTTTTGGCAGAGTAATGAGTGAAGCGATTCAAGTGTCTGTCGGGTTGCGACCATTACTGCCACTTTCTAGTTCTACGTTCAAGTTTAAAGATAGCGATAAAGTGGTAATTTATTATAATTTTAGGTATGTAATATTTTAGCAAAGCAGTTCTTGAACGGGTTTAGGCGCAGTTACTTTACTATTTTTATGGCATATTTCGGATCCTTTTCTGGCCATACAATCAGCAGTGCTATTCTGTTATGAAACAGCTTAGAACTCGACGACGAGCGCAAGGATGTCACTGCGCAAAGGTTCAATCAAGTTAAACTTTCTTGAAATGGTAAAAAACGTGCTATGTGACTGCGCCGAGCTCGACGTCATGTTTTTTTTTAACAGAAAAGCAAAGCTAAGTTTGGTTTTAGGATGATTAATCTCATCTTAAGACGACAAACATAACATAATGCCTATGGTATTTAAATGTCGGAGTAACCGGCAATAGTTAAAATTACAGAATATTCTGTTTGTGTGAAGCCCGCTTGTGCTCAATTCGTGTGATATCAATTGCAAACTCAAAGCAAACTGAAACTAGATGTATTGTACTCGATTCTGAATTTGAATAATATTTCTACCTGAATTATATTTTATTAAAACATCTTAGCAGTATTTGTTACTCCATAAACGACCTTTTTATTAAATATCTAGAAGAAAAATCTACTATAAAATACTTTGTGGTAGATAATATGGGTGTAGATGATATAAACTGATCATCCAAAGACTTGTAAATAAGGCTTTAAACAATAGAATTAAGCACTTTATTGTTAAGGAAGGTCGTAGGTACATTATGAGATTTTCCGAACAATCGCAATTTTTTTTTCTGGGAAAAAGGGCTACAGCTTCTTTTGTTCCATCCTATAGAATACAACCTCTTTCTTAGGGTATTGTTTTAATATAAAAGAGGCGTCGCCGTGAGAATTATGAAAAATAACTGTTTAAGGATTATTGTCATATGACAAAATGTCTTAACATAAATACCTACTGTTAAGTCTAATCAATCTAAATCTTCGCGCATAAATTCTTTACGAGATAGGCAGAAAGAAACCCAAGCAACAATTTACATGGCCAATAAATTGTTAAACTTAGGATATCCTAATGAATCGATTATAAAATATAAATCCACTATATATGAAAAAAGATGATGATGTTATAATTTGAAAAAAGATTCAAAATCCTATTTGCTCTTTTTGTTTATAATTATATGATGATATTATGACAAAGTCGCTTTCCGCCAGCGACTTTACCATATTTTGCTATACTTTTCATTGCTGCACTACTGATAGTAGTCTTAGCATGATGTTATATAGCCTTTCCTAATAATTGGAATATTTCACAAAAGTATTTTTTCAAAAAATAACCGTTTTCTTGGCTCATACGTGTAATTACAATGATAGGGTACCGAATACTGAAAGCATGTTCGAGTGATTAGAATTCAAAGGAGGAATTCATATAGAAATGTAGGCAAACTATAATTATCGCTAGATAAAATACATTAACCGGTTCAGTGTTGCTAGTAGTTTCGTAAAGCATTCCATTCACGTAGCACATTGAACTTGCGTCCAAACTCACCCGTTCAATGCTTACATAATCCAACAAAAACAATAACCGATTGGAATCTTACGGATAGATTATTAACAACTGGCTTGGCAATTGTTTTTATTGCCTTTATTTATTTTATAAAATGAAAAGTTTCATAGATATCAGTCCTATCTAATTTATTAGTAAAAATGATTTAAGTTACAAATTATGGAATTATGCTGACAAATCAAAGGCGTCATCACATTTTAATATATTAGTAGAAATTTAGATAAGTAAATTGATCTGGGTATATTTTTATTTATTTTGTCAAATGTTGTCTGGTACACGTGGGTCTCAATTTAGCTAATCTCAATGGCGTCTCAATTGATTGCATATTGCCATTGTAGTGTCTACTTTAATGATATTAATATTGTAATGATGTTAATGCTATGTTCTTCTTCATAAATCAACGTGTCATCGTAATTTATTTATACCGAGATATGTAGTGGATAAGCGCCGCGGCCCGCGATTGTAGTCGTTAAGCAACTTTCGCAAGGGTCGGTCACGGGATGGGTGACCAAAAAATTATTATCTCGAGCTTCTCCGTGCTTCAGAAGGCACGTCAAGCCATTGGTCCCGGCTGCATTTGCAGTCGTTAATACCTTCCAATCCGCATTGGGCCATCGTGCAGGGTCATGGCCCATCCTCTTAACCATCCATAAGGCCTTCCTTATTTTTAAGGTCTGAGCCCCTGCAGTGGGGACGTAAAAAGGGCTGGTGGTGAGATATGTTTATTATTTTGTGGTTCTATTAACAAGAACTGTGTAGAATAAGACATGTTATTAATTTAATTTATTCTGTTAATAATATTGAAATAAATATAATCGAAAGACGTAGCAAAAAATGCAAGATGATATCATACTATGTATAGATAATGTACGTATCTAATTCATATTAGTGCTGCACTTAAGATACAATTTTAACTGTAACGGTTGGTAATTAAAAACTTTGTACTTCATACGATACAAATAAATAAATATCCGAATCAAATAGAATAGGTATAATGGGCCATTTGACCCACCATGCGAAAAACTGCAGATGCAACTGTAACCAACGGCTTAACATGCCTTCGGAAGCAAGGAAGAGTACGGGATAGTAAATTTTTAGTTACCCATCCTATAGGCGGTCTTAGCGGAAGATGTATTGTTTTAACTTTCGTATCGCAGACTGAACGCGCTAACAAATAATTGACTCAAGAAAAAAAGCAGTTTTCAGATAAAAACACACTATAAGTAAAAAAATAAATAAGTATTAGAATGGCCTCTTTGGATGTTTATGATAACTATCTTCGTTTCCATTACACATAATACGAATATGATTCAGCAACTTATTTTCATTGTTTATTCATCAGATCAGTGGCCTAATTGTCTAATTTAAAAATTTATCACAATACCTTTTAAACGTATAGTGGTTGTGATAGTGACTTTTATCACTTTGCTTCGTCAACTCTGATTAACGTCAAAAAAGTAATCGTTCATTTAATATGTTCCAAAAAACGTCGCGAGCGCAATTGCGCAATCATACGTCAAATAGTCATAGCGTGAAGTTCGTGAATATCTTTGAAATGTCAAAATCAAAGGCATTGTGAATTTTTTTTAAATTAGTCAAACAAGTCACTGTACTTATAGTGTCTATTTTATTATAAGTAACCTTGTTATGTTGCTAACTTGGTTTCTTGAAAAACGTTATTAAAATTATTTTTGTAAAATTTATTTCAAAGTCAGGGACAGTACTTGGTATTTATCTCCTTTGCGTTATAATAAAAAAAAGTTTTAATAGTCCTAATAGTTTTCAGAAATATAAGAAAAGTCGTTTTAAACAAAGTGGATCTT